CTGTGATGATAATTTCTGAATTAACATTTTTGTCACGAGGTATGCAAAATCAAAAATGGTGTACATGTTTTTATGAAGTATGAGTCACTGCATGCATCCTCTGCAAAAAAATAAAATAAATACAATAAAAATAAATCCTGTAAACTTCTGTATGCTGAAGAAGAGCATACACATACAGAGTTGCATATGCACTGCAACAATATGTTTTTTTTCCTGTGTTCTATAAGAATGAAATATTTATAATGCAGAACTAATTAGTATAGTTTACTGTAAAATAATATATTTTCTGTCTCATTCTATGATATGAAGCCACATCAGATCACAAATGGAAGTTATTTCAAACACTTAACTGACAGTGTGGCATGAAACTGCTCTCTTTTGCTGAAGCCGAAGCGATCAAGCCGCTCTGACCACAGTGCTGCGCATCATGAAACACGTTGCACAAAGATTTAATTAAAAATATCAGCCTTTGCGATTTCATAATAGCACTTAACCAAATCGTGATTTGAATCCCTCCAGCAGCTCATCTTCAACTTCATGGCCATTATTTCTAATATTACTAATTCTTAAGTTTTTCCAGGGCATCATATTAATGTGAAATCACTTTTATTACAGTTACACATACTGTAAACGTGTAAATGTCCAGGGTGAAGTCAGTCTCATCAGTGTGTTTCTCTGCTGTCCGCTAACTGTCCTCTGTGTTTCCTCATGCTGTCCATCTAGTGGCCAACATTCTCTGGAGGGAAGAAGGTAAATCTGCTTGATACTCATGTCTGATTATCTGTCTGATTAGTGTTCATGTTACAATAACAATGACAAACATTCTGAGAGACACTTTGATAACTGTGTGTGGACTAAATTGCTTACTGAAATGAATCCGGGCCTATTTGAAGCATGCATTAATGTGAAGGTAAAAGAGCTAGAATGCACATGCACTAATGACTTTATAACACACCTGCAGGAACCCAGTTATCAAAGAAAGCTCACATGTAGATTGCTTTGATCGCCACATATCATGTCACAATGGTGGTTTACACTCTGTCTCGACAAATGACTCGTGTGTCATGTTCATACAGTAGGGTAGAACGGGGCTAAAAATATAGGCTATATATATATATACATGTTTTTATTGAACTGATGGAGCAACACATTTTGAGGGAAAGTAAATTCTAAAAGAATTCTTTGTTTTGTTTAAAGTCGTATAAATGTCTGAGGTGGTGAGGGACCACACTCAGGCAAACTTCAGCTAAAGTAATATGTTTTGCATAATATCGTATTCAAAACAATAACTTCAGCAAAATGTACTGTTTCTGTTAATTTTAAAAATACAGAAAAAAGGAAAGATTCTGAAAGCTTTTTACACAGTTTGAAGGAAATATAAATTTTATATGGCTTTACAGTAGTAACAATAAATATGTTTCATGATAAATATGTTTTAAATATGATGGTTTCATTATAAATATGGTGATTGTCTCTGAGGTGGACACTGACGTATTAAATGGTATTAACCATCTGAATCCCGTTATTTTAGTATCATTGAGATACTATTGTAGTTATTGTTAATATTTTCAATTAGATTTTTTTTTTATATTTTGTGCTTTCATATTAATTTTAGTTAAAGCTAAAAGAAAAGTTGCGAAATTTGTCGTTATGTTTTTGTTGTTTTTATATGTTAATATAGTTGTCATTAATTTAATAATTCAGTTTTAATTGTAGTTATTTTATTTCATCTAGTTAAACTAAATTAACTAGCTAAAATAAAACGTTTAATTTTTATATTTTATTTTATTTCAGTTAACATCCAACAATTTTTTTATGCTAACTGTAATAACCCTGTGTGAATCCAACCAACAAATAAAAACGTCAGGCATCTGATTATTATCATGTAAATCATTGTGCCTTTGGCCCCAGCAGCACAGACACGTTTTATCCCAAATACCACACTTTTTCATATTCTTCCTTTATTGAAAAACCCTTGATTTAACATTGAACATAACTGAAAATCATCAACATAGTGTTAGTGAATGTCTTGAAATTGATAAATGTATTGACTCTTGTTTGCTACACAAATATATATGAGTGAAATGTGGATGCTTAGGAACGTGTTGTGGTGAGTTTTTGTGCTGTTTGTTGGTTTATAGGAGAATAAAATCAAATCTGTGTTTTATCAGTGTATCTTTAGCCCTGTTGTAGCCAATGTGTGACATCCGGTTAGTCTTCAGTTTAAGCTGTTTAGATTCAAGTTTAACAGAGTATTCCAAATACATTTTTTTGCAAATTGGTAGTGAATACGAACTGCTCACACCCCGCTCTGAAGTGTAGCACCATGCTTAGTTTTTATACAAATCATACACATTTCTACGAAATAGCCGATTCGTATTTATTGTGTTTGAACTGCCCCCTCGCAGATCAATGGAAGCCCCTTTCCACCACTGAATAAAAAAACACAAAACGTAATTGCTACTTTTTCTCTCCAAATTGTAACTTTTTTCTCGCAGTTGTGAGTTTACATCTTGCATTTCTGACTTTTTCTCAGAACTGTGTGATATAAACTCACAATTGCAAGTCATACATTTGTGGGATTGTGGGATACAAGGTTGCAATTCTGAGAAATAAAGTCAGAATCGCAAGATATATACTATGATTTTTATTTTATTTTATTTATTTATTTTTTATTTTTTTATTGTGAATTGTGAGATATAAACTCGCAATTGCAAGTTATAAAGTCCAATTCTGAGGGGAAAAAAGACAATTGTGAATTTATATCTCAGTTCTGACTTTATAACTCGCAATTGCATGTATAAACTCGCAATTCTGAGAAAAAAGTCAGAATTGTAAGATATAAACTCGTAATTCTGAGGAATAGTCAGTCTTTTTTTCCTCAGAATTGGACTTTATCACTAATAATCACGAGATTATATCACGCAGTTCTGAGAAAAAAAAGTCAAAATTGTGAGATATAAACTGACTTTTATTCTGATTTTGTTTCTCGCAAATTCTCACTTCATTCCTCAAAATTGTGGGATATAAAGTCGCATTTTGGGATATATAGTCAGAATTTCACGATATAAACTCTGACTTTTATTTTAATTTGAATTTGTATTTATTATTATTATTTATTTTTTTATTTATTTATTTTTTTAATTGTGAATTGTGAGATATAAACTTGCAATTGCAAGTCCAGTTCTGAGGGGGGGAAAAGACTGATAATTTATTACAATTGCAAGTTTATATCGCACAATACTCACTTTCCAACTCGCAATTGCGTGTGAAAAAGTCACAACTGCCAGATATAAACTTTCAATTCTGAGAAATAAAGTCAGTGTTTTTTTTTCCCATCAGAACTGGACTTCTCTCACAATTGCAAGATTATATCTCACAATTCTGTGAGATTGTGAGATATAAACTCATAATTGTAAGAAAACGGTCAGAAATGTGAGATAAAAAGTGGCAACTACCTTTTTTATTTTTAATTTAGTGTCAGCTTCTACACAAATCAGTGCCTGCGTATGATCATTAGGAACAGTCATCCACCATCTCGACTCATGGAGATGACCGCCAGCACTGATCATGCACAGCTTACCTGCGACTGTGTGTTTTTACACCTTCTGCTTTCTGACAGCATGACAACTCTGTGCTGCCGCTCCTCTGACGTGACCACGCTAATTAGCAGCTGTTGTTTGCTGCCAGGTGACAGACCTGCAAATGCACTTTTTGGAGTGGTTTCAGGAGATTTTAATAGTCTCTGCTGTCTGACCGTATGACAGCCGCATTGTTTGAAACCGTTTTCTCCCCCAGTGGCACGCCGTTTGCTTTTGTTCTCTCTGAAGGAAGAGAGAGTGTGTAATGGCGTGTATGATGTTGTGTGTGCTTGCAGGGCTCGGTGTGGGGAACATGTTCTATGTGTTCTCCAGCGAAGGGATCACCATACTGAAGCCCGGCAACTGTGAGATTCGCAGACGCATCCCGCGGACAGAGAGGATTCTGGGTAGTTATGTAAGTCTTGCCTCGAACCCAAAACAAAAGACAGAAATAAGAGTAGTCATTATGCTTAATGCCAGTGAAGCCTGACTGTTTTAAGATTGTTTGTTAAGATTATTTTCACATTCTTCCACCCCCATAATTCTTATTATTGCAAAAGCAAACCATTATCATTAGTATAATATATACTACTGTTTGAAAAGCAAGATTAGTAAGACTTTTATTTGGTAACACTTTATTTAAAGCCTTTATGTATAATGCATTATGAAAGAATTCATAACGTATGTTGTAATGCGTTATATCTTTTCATAAATAATTGTAACCAAAGTTAAAATGCATTATAATATTTGAAGGTTTATTTGTCATGTGTTCTAATGTATTATATTTTCTAAAGGTGCAACAATGAATAGATAAGTATTATAATTTATAACTGTGGTCATAATCACTGAGATCATATAATGCATTATAAGGTGCATTACGAGGCATAATAATAATGCATTCATTTTTTTTTTATAACGCATTATGACTTTCAGTAAAGTGTTGTTGATTTAAAAAATATATACTTTTATTAATCAAGGACACATTAAATTGATCAAAAGTGACAGCAAAGACATTTATAATGTTACAAATTATTTCAATTTCAAATCAAAGGATTCTGAAAAATGAAATATCGCAGTTTCAAAAAAAATATGATTCAGCACAAACATTGATAATAATCAGAAATGAGTAGCAAATCAGCATATTAGAATGATTTCTGAAGATCATGTGACTGAAGACTGGAGTTGATCACAGGAATAAAATACATTTTAAAATATACTCAAATAGTAAATATTTATTTTGAATTGTAGTAATATTTCACAATATTGCTGTTTTTATTGTATTTTTGATCAAATAAATGCAGCATTGGTGACTAGAAGTGGGAAAAAAAAACTTCTTAAAAATCTTTATATCAGACTTTTGCATTTTAGTGTATCTACATCCAGATGCTTTGCTTAAACAATATTATAATCATTAATATATATATATATATAATTTCTTGCTTCTTTTGATTTGGAGGTGAACATGTTTTGACATTCTTAAAGGTTTCAAAGGGGGTGGTTTTCACAGTGATGCCATAGAAGAACTATTTTTTGTCCCCAAAGAACCCTCCAGTGAAAAGTAACCATTTCTTTTTAGTGTGAAGAACATTTTAATAATCTAAAGAACCTATATGTTTTCTACTATAAAGAAGCTTTTGTGCAATGGTCATGTTCCCTGGAGGTTAAAGGTTATTCATGGAACCTTAGCTGCCAATAAAGAACCTTTATTTTACGAGTGCACAGACACAAACATTGGTTCAAGCGCGTGTCCATCCCTGCAGGAAGAACTGTGTCCCAGCAGCACGGGCGTCTCTTCACAGGAGTGTGTATGGGCATCTGCGGTCAGCGTAAGGGACAAGTACGTGTACGTGTCTCAGCCACTTCAGAACAGACTGCTGCTGATCGACACACAGGAGCAGAGAGTCGTGCAGGTGAGGATGTTTCAGTCTTCAGCCAACCACAGCTCTCATATCTCATAAGAGTTCTCAATAACTATTATCAGTGCTGGGTAGATTACTTGCAAATTGTAGTCTGTTACTGATTCCAGATTACATGACAAAAATTGTAGTTAGTAATGTAATCCATTACATTACATGTTTTGGGTTATCTGATCAGACTACTTTTTGATTACTTTTGACCTAACTTGTTTATCACATTGATTTAAATAAGGTAATATTGTACCATATTGATATAAATATATTAAGAGAAAGAAAATATTTTCCATTCGTTGTTATTAACAACATAAAGTGCATTAAACATTACATTACCAAGGTTTTCCACACTGGGGTTTGTGAAGGACCTGCAGGGGGTTTAATGAAAAGACAATAATTAGTTAAATCATAAAAAAAACAAAACTGAAATAAATCAAAAGAAAACACTTAAATCATTTATTTGTTTACCTGCATGTCATGTGACCATTAACCAACGTCAGAGAACCGTGAAAATGCAAATGTGTTACTTAATTATTAATTTAGTAACTTAAAATATTAGGCAAAATTTGGCTGAGCCCCCTTGAACGTGTTATGTTACAAATCCAAATTTAAAAAATGAAAAAGAATTAGGGAGATTCAATACATTTTTAACAATTTATTACTATTGTGTGAATAATATGTAATCATGTAATCAATAAAATAGTAACTGTAGTCTAATTACAAGTATTTTAAAATTTTATATAATCTACTTACAAGTATTTAATTCTTGGAATCTGATTACATACAGTAATCCAGGTTACATGTAATCGGTCACTGCCCGTCACACAATAAAATGTGGATCATTTGTTCGTGGATGAATTTGATAAGAAATATCTGACATGAACACTTCTTTGCAGACATTAAAATCATTCAGTTTGAGACATGGTTGAGATCTGAGAACCTAGAGGTGATGCATGCAAGATCTTTTTCACACATTGTAAAGAAAAACAATCTGTGAAATTTATAGTAAAAAAAATTCAGCTGTGGATGCCAGAAATTTACTGTAAAAATATGGTGGCAAAATTATAGGTTTTACAGATTTAACTTCTATTTACCGTAAAACACACATATTTCGTTAACTGAAATAATGTGAACCTACTGAAGTGCTAATATCAGTTTTGTACCTTTATAATATACATGAAGAATCATACATGAAAGCTTTTCCACAAGCTGAAGTAAATACTAGTATATAGAGGGAGCAAATTCAAAATACACAAAAACTTGGTAACACATAACACTAAAATAATGCAATAAGCATTCATTTAAAAACATTAGATGTAACATGAAACACTACTGTACATAACAATTAAGAAAAAAACTATGAAGAAACAGTTATTTCAATGAAAACCCATCAAATGTGAACTGTCAAGCAGGGAATTTTGTTTGTCAATTTTTGGTTTTTCAATTAAGTTGTAAGATGATTTGTTCACTTATATAACAAAACAAACCTTTGATATATAACAGTAATTTATCATCAAATTATATTAAATATAATATAAGACACAATGGGTGCTTTACTCATAACAGCTGCTCTTGACAAGCAAAACTGTATGACTTTCCCCTCTTGTGTTGGAATGACAGGCTGTGGAAACGGACGCCATGCCCGTCAAACTCTTCTACGACAAATCTCACGATCAGCTGTGGCTGTTGAGCTGGAGAGACCTGCTGAAGTCCCGCTCTACACTGCAGGTGACACTCACAAAGCCTTCACTGTCTACAAGGAAAATATTGTTTCTAGTTTTGGCCTGAATTATAATTCACCCAGATAGTTCCTAAAGTCTCTCAAGCAAATTAGTGAGCGCTCACACTTTCTTCATGCCGCCCCACTGTTATGTGTTGTTGTTTTTTTTGTTTTTTTATTCTGAGAGTTCATTCATTGAGCTTATGAGGGGCCATTGACCTACTAACCGTCTGTATTTTTGAATGTTTGGTGTTAATGTGTGATAGTCTTTGCTTAACAAATGCATTTCTGCACTGACTACAGCTTCATAACACATTCAGATCCATTTTGACCTGGAAGACGTACATAAAATTTTTTAAAAATGCTTAGTTTTTAGTAAGGGAACAAAACTTTGCTCCCATAGTGCATTAAAGGGTTAGTTCACCCAAAAATGAAAATTCTGTCATTAATTACTCACCCTCGTGTTGTTCCAAACCCGTAAGACCATCGTTCATCTTCAGAACACAATTTAAGATATTTTTGATGAAATCTGAGGGCTCTCTGACCCTCCCATAGACAGCAAGGTAACTACCACGTTCAAGGTCAAGAAAAGTACCAAGATGATCGACAAAGTAGTCCGTGTGACATCAGTGGTTCAACTGTAAAGTTACGAAGCTACGAGAATACTTTTTTGCGCCGCCACACGCTCTCGTCATGATACTGTCATGAACGCGCATCCACAAGTGACGCAGTAGAGATGAAAATGTGGAATAAAGTCGTTATTTTTGTTTTCTTTGTGCAAAAAAGTATTCTCGTAGCTTCGTAACTTTACAGTTGAACCACTGATGTCACACGGACTACTTTGTCGATCATCTTGGTACTTTTCTTGACCTTGAACGTGGTAGTTACCTTGCTGTCTATGGGAGGGTCAGAGAGCCCTCAGATTTCATCAAAAATATCTTAAATTGTGTTCCAAAGATGAACGAAGGTCTTACGGGTTTCGAACAACACGAGGGTGAGTAATTAATGACAGAATTTTCATTTGTGGGTGAACTAACCCTTTAAGACCCTCAATATACACTATTCCTTTTTTCTAAATTTTTTACTTTTTTTTAGGAGATATAACCAAAAAGTTACATGTTTTGTGCTCTATTTGTATGGAGTACCATTTGGTGTCAAAAATATTTTCGTAAAATTATCTATAAAGTTATATTAAACAACTTTTGTAAAATAGTTATCTGACACATCTCACACTTTTGGCACTGAATTTTGTTTTTGTTCATGTTTTTGACAAACATGGATATGTACGACTATTGATGAACCACTGAAGCATGAAAACCTGATGACTTTTTTCATCTGAAAGTGAATGTTTATGCAATTAAAATTAATTAATTTTGTCTGAAAAAAATTCAGAGTTATATTTAGGTTGTTATGATGTTGTTTTGTTAGAAATAAATTGGTAGGTTTCATATATTTGGACTGTTTTTGAGCAATCATGAGTTCAATGGAATTAAGGAATTAGGGTTAAATCGCAGATTATATGTTCATATACATTTCATACAATGATTTATCCAACTAACATTTCTCAGTAATACTATATACAGGTGCATCTCAATAAATTAGAATGTCGTGGAAAAGTTCTGCATCATAGTTTGTTTGTTTGTTATTTTTTTTGGTTCATTTCATTATTAAAAAAGGGGGTAAATGCAGGAATACCATGGTAATATTCATTTTCACTCATTAATGAGAAGTTTCTGATCTGACACAATATGGTTTTAGCTGAAAAATCTTTAATAATCTTTAAATCTTAAGTTATGACTGTTTTAGAAAATAATGATTCTAACAACCCGAAATATAAAAATAGTATAGATTTTGAATGCATTATGAAGATTAATTGCATGTGCATTAACTGCACTGTAACTGCAAATGATTTTCCAAAGTTGTAAACAAAGATTATTGGAGTATAAGACAAGAAAATACGATTTCAGTTTTTATCAAAATTTCATGTTTAATTCAGTGCATTACTTATTGTTTGTAAAATATACGAGCAATTTCTGAATGAAAGCAGTTTCTACACAGTGCAGTTCAGTGTCAGGTAGAGCTCCTGACTCGAGCTGCAGGCGAATAAGACGCTTTCTGCTACATGAAGAAAATTTGCCCGGTTCCCACTTTAGTCTTTGCCAGGTTTGATCTCGGCTGTCCTCGTATGTCAGCGCACACGTCTGAGAAACACAGCCTCAAAGACAGAGCAAATGAAAGGCTTTTTATTTAACAAACAGTGTGTAATCCCAGCCCCCATACACATGAATAATTCACGTTTTATTAAATAGCGGGAAAGTCCTCAGGTGTGTTTGCTTGTTCAGCATGCCCACAGAGCACCAGCCACACAGAATAATGAAGGCGTTCGCTATGAATCAGTCAGAAATGCTAAAGAGCACTTTTAGAGGCAAGCTGCATAATTGGCTGCAGGGGATATGGATTCACACCACAAATAAATGGCTTGATAATATTCGACTCGTTTTGAATGCGAGTAATTGACCCGGGCACGGGCAATCTGTCAGGCCCGGAGGCAGTGCTCAGCTCGAGAGGTGAAATATCAAACCCATTTTTTTAAATGGCTTAATATTCTTAGTCAAACATCTGAACCTGTTTGTCAGTTCATTAGATTAAACAAATGAGGTGAGATAGAGCCGCATGTGTGCGCTTGGCTCTGATCCCGCACTCATCACACACATTCACAAATCAAGAACTGATCGTTTGCATTCATAATCATCTGCACTGAAGCCAACAGTGGCATTTTTATCAACTTTATAAGCTCTTTTAATAAAATCGTTGTGAATTTCAAACTATTATTATTTTGGTAGTACTGTATCTGTTGGGTAACAAGTGAATGTACTAAAACCTTTATTAATATAAGGCAAGTCTGAACTTTCTTTGTACAATTTCTGAGTGGTCTGATAGCAATCCTGTATCCGCATTTGAGAATTGTTTTGTTAATATAAATATTGCTGTAAAGACATTAAATATCCTATAACATATTATAAATATGGCATGGACAATGCCTTTGTGATTATAAATGTGCTTCATTTTAGTGAATGTGCACTCATAGAGTTCTTCAAATTTTAAAAGTATATTTCAAAAACTACTTGCAGATAATGCAATATTAATAAAACATGCACTTAAAGAGAGTTCACTTTCATGTCTGTTTCTTAACACTCTTCAATGCACTTTTTTTTGTAAAAATGTGACCGGAGGAGAAACTAGGCAGTATGATACATGATAATTAACTGTAAAGGGAGCAGGGAAAACATTATAGACATGATTAAACACTCGGCATGAAGGCTGTATGGCAGTATTACACCACTGCTGAAAGCTGTATTTATCCAGTAAATTCATGAATGTCTTACTATATAATAAAATATCAAAGCAAGAGTTACTGAAGATCTTTGCTTATCGTCTCCTCGGTTTGGTCATATTTAGCCATGGTTGTAATCTGGGCCTGAAGTTCACTTACCAATGACCAAATGTAAGTAAAAACCAGAATGAAGTGTTACTCGCCAGTTAACCTTTTTATTAACTCTAACAGTGCCTGAGAAAGCAATAAGGCTTAGTATGATTATGAAATCTTAAAAACGGCATTGTAATTATATAAATATGTAATCTGATGTGCTGTGTGTTTCAGAGTGAAGTTCTGTGATCTTCTCACGAGCCACTCACGATAACAGTGTTTTCAGTGTCTTATAACATTAATTTAAAAATGCAACATGCCCCAATCATCTTACCTGGTTTGTAATGAGAATCATTTATAAAACTGTTATCAGCAAAAGAGAAGCATTTCAAAAGAGAAGTTTCTCTGCCGTTTTCTGCCAACATAAAAACCTCTATGGTTTAACATTTGAAAGCAAAGAAAAAACAACCATCGATATTATTATTGTAATTGTACTGTTATATAAAATAATAATCATTATTATATAAATAAAAGTTATTATTAAATACTTTACAGTTAATTAATAGTATTAAGTATCAATAATAACAATATTACATAAAAAATACACAAATTACATGTTTTCCCAATTCGTTCTGCCTGTTTTTAATGAAAAATTGCACATACAGTTTCACAGCCTGTACATTTACTGAAGTCACCGGCTGTTGGCCCTGGTTGTAATATTCTTTTCACTCTCTTCCATTTTTTAAGGTGATCACTTCAGCCAGCGCGGTGGAGCAGCGTCAGATCATCCGTACTCCATTTGAAGGAGTGGAGGACTTCTACATCCCTCCCACCAATCTCATTATCACCCACGTAAGGTACGAAACGATCGTCACTGCTCAGCGTGCATGACCTCTGTCAGATTTTCCACATAATTCTTCCAAAAATGGATAGCGAGCAAATGACGGTTGTAATTAAAAGCGCAGCACTTAATAAATCCGCAGAAAGATCATTAACCTGTCTTTGACCATTGTCATCTCAGGTTTGGCTTTGTCTACTTAAAATCGGAGCCCGCGGTGCATAAAATTGACCTTGAGACCCTCCGTCTCGTCAAGACCATCAGTCTGAAGAACTACAGCTGTATCCCAGCCAGCATGGCCTACACTCATTTAAGCGGCTACTACTTTATCGAGTGCCAAGTCGAGGACCGTTCGGCCCCGAGCTCACAGCTTCTCATCGACAGCGTAAGCGACACCGTCATTGGACCTAATCCCAACATCAACGGCCAGCCGTTCATCTCTCCAGACGGCCGCTTCATCGTCTCCGTGGACAAGCGACACGGAAAGCTCCAAGTCCAGACCATCTCCTTCAGCGGCGAGTTGCGGACCGGCCACGAAGCGGACGTCTCGATTCCCCTCGCAGACTTGGAGTTTCAGCCGTCCTTCACGGAGGCCAACAAGTACATGATCGTGGCCTCTTCGGCGCAGGGCTCCAAGCTGGTTTTCTCGGACCTGGCTTCAGGAAGAACGAAAGCCCTCGAAGATGTCAAGGATCCTATTCCAGCCAGCAGCTGGCCTTGGGGAGACGCCAACAGGGTGGTGGTCTCCAGCGGGGTGTTTGGACGCTACTTGGTCACGTCGTCGGCCGAGTCCCTGTTCGTTCTGGACGGCAAACAGAGCGGCCCTCACTGTGAGGTGTCAGACGTCAAGAGAGGGAACACAGTGGTCTGGGTGGGCGAGGTATGAGCGGCGTACCGCGGGCCGGTTCTGCAGAGGATTGCATCAGCCGACTGGGCCAAAGCTTGGGAAAACCTTTAAGGGATGCGAACGGACTTGATCCTAGTAGTGAGTTAAACGAACACACATGCGGGTTTCTGTATAGGTACACACACATACACACACATTCAACGGCAAGAAACCTTAAACAACAAGGGAACGAACGAAGACACCCTTCAGTGCAACAGTGAACTAATTTGATGATTTTTTTGCACTTCCTTGTTAGCAGAAATAGCATTAAGCAGCAGACAGGTTAGGTAATGACTGAACTATGCACAATGCTTTTTAAAAGTTTGAGTGTTTTTCTTTATTTTTTTCTCAGTGTGTTCACTTGTTATATACAGTCACTGCAGGAAATCTGTCCGTCAGTGTCATGTCTCATTTTTGTCAATGTAGAAAACTGTGTTGTTTGCCTCATCCCAGTGTTTCTGATCACACAATTCAACAGCGTTTGTTTTACAGTTATTAGTACACTTCATTATAATAAACACGTTACAGTAACATTTTGCATTTTCCTTTTTGTAATGAGGTGAGTACTTTCTTCTCATCCTCAGTGCTCTCTGTGTGTGTGTTTGTTTTTGTGGAGCTACACTTTGGGGACACCGTCGCCTCCAAACGTTTGCTAAAGCTGACCGCCCTTTGGGGACACAGCAGACAGGTTAGGTAATGACTGAACTATGCACAATGCTTTGTCAATGAGTGTTTTTCTTTATTTTTTTCTCAGTGTGTTCACTTGTTATATACAGTCACTGCAGGAAATCTGTCCGTCAGTGTCATGTCTCATTTTTGTCAATGTAGAAAACTGTGTTGTTTGCCTCATCCCAGTGTTTCTGATCACACAATTCAACAGCGTTTGTTTTACAGTTATTAGTACACTTCATTATAATAAACACGTTACAGTAACATTTTGCATTTTCCTTTTTGTAATGAGGTGAGTACTTTCTTCTCATCCTCAGTGCTCTCTGTGTGTGTGTTTGTTTTTGTGGAGCTACACTTTGGGGACACCGTCGCCTCCAAACGTTTGCTAAAGCTGACCGCCCTTTGGGGACAACATATAGGACAAATCCTATATTACATATTTGTTTTTTAATTAAATAATTTCTTTTAGAATTACGGTGTGTGTGTTGGTCAAGTTTTGATCAAATGCCCCCACCACAAGGATAGTAAACCATTGTGTGAAGCAGGAAAACGGTTTAATAAACATACTACATAATGTCTTAATGAAAATGTCCAAATGCAGAGGTTTGTGTAAAGGCATAGGGGATAGAAAATATCATTAGCTCAGTTTAAAAACAATAAAAGTCCATGGAAACACCTGCCATTAAAGAAAAAAGGTGTGTGTTGATCTTCTTTTGGCTTTTTTGCATCAATTCTGTCTGAACGCAAACTTTAGTTTCATTAAAGTAGTCCTACATTCATATATTACATTCAAACACCCAGCTAAAGAATAGAATAGCAAATAACAATGAAAGAAAAGTATATTCTTGCTAAATACAAATAGATGGGCAATGAGGTCCACTGTGCTAGATAAAAACTTATCTGGTGCATCAGATGTTTGAAAGGCAACAGAAAAAATTCAGTACATTTAACACACATGAACCAAATTAGAGCACTGTTGCACTGAACACACTATCATCACTACTGAGACGACCGCAAGCACAGCTTTAAATCGCCCTATTTGAGACAAAATGGCTAAATTGGCATTTCAATGTGCTTTCAGGCTCAGTCAGATATGCATGACTACAGTATTACTTTAGAAAGCCAGATGGTTAGACCTCAATGAACATTAAACTGGACACAGATACGATCAATTTAAGGCCCAAACAAATCTAATTAAACTCAGTGGGCTAACAATCGCTGAATAAATGTGCTCCGCATACAGTATATTAACTATAGAGTGATTTGAGTTTGTGTCCTTTATGTCTGGTTTTTAAAGGGATAGTTCACCAAGAAATCAAACTTTGCTGTTAATGTACTCACCCTCAGGCCATCCAAAGATGTAGATGACCTTTTTTCTTCAATAGAACAGTAAATAAGATTTTTAAAACCGGTTGAAACCGTGGTCCTTGGCAATTCATAAAATCCAAGTCAGTGGCATATCAGGCAACACAAAATAAATCCCTGTGGCTCCTGATGTTATATTGAGGTCTTATGAAGCAAAATGATCGCTCTGTGCAAGAAACTGAACATGATTTGCAACATTACCTGTAATCCAGAGCCTCAGGCAAATGGGGAAATCCGATTCTTTTCCATGAACGGTTTCACTCGGACAGTTTGTTTCAGTGAAGTGGTTCAAATAACTGACCCCCCAGTTCGTTTACGTAATCATGCAATGACGTCACGTATACATGAGCAATATCACACGAGTAGCAGTGCAATATGGCTGTATATTGGCACGGCTGTGATTCGGCCGTAGGCACAAGGTTTATACATCAGTTCGACGACACAAGTCTGCAAATACATAAGAAACAACAACAGAGTGTCTTTAAAAAAAGCCTCTTTTGTGCGAACTACTTCCTTCCATCATGGATTCATGGATTCAAATCTCAAGTTTAACAGCTGAGCCCAAGCCTTTGTTACTAATTTGAAAACGTCACTTTAGAACTAGTTACAAAGGAACGTTGAGGTGCTTCATTGAAAGCTTAATGTATTACTGTACTAAAAGCTCACTGTTTTATGTAGAGTATGAATGTCCACTGAGGAAAGCAATATCTTTGTCGTACTATCCTTTCATCTGTTAAGGGTGATTTCCAGTGCTGCGTCTTACAACGTGTTGTTAAAAGTAAAAAAAAAAAAACGTCCTTGTTTACAACCCCATTTCAGTCTCTTTCAATATAAAATCTATACTGATGACTCACTCTAATTGCGGAATAATGTAACTAAAATCACCATCACGAACACACACACCGTTTCCCAATATTAAATGCTATAATTAAGTACTACTGTTATTTATATAAAATATTGTTTATTGAATAATTTTATTTAATAAACAACAACAGCCATCGTAAAAGTTACATTACATTACATTCTCACCTAAAAAATTTTTAAAACTACATTTCCGTGACACAAAAACAGTATTATTCATAAAATTATTGTGGATTTGGGCATCCACCATGACACTCGCTGTGAGAAATACTGCAAGTGGAGTTCTGTTCACTATAATATCACACTCCTCTCAGCCAATCAGATTCGAGGACCAGAAAGAACTGTTGTTTAAACAATTATATTATTAAAGCAACCAATAATGATGTGAAAGGTGGCTGTTTTACATGTTTAAAGCACATAAAGTCAATAAACATTAATTTCACCCCTTCATTCAAGTGCTGGCTTCACTCATGCTCATTTCAGCGGCTCATCTGTCTTCGGTCCGAGTCAAACTGTTTCCTCAGTTCAGTGACTGTTGGAGGAACTGGAGCGCTGAATCAGATCAATTACACCACCATTTTGGCTCATTTCAATTTTGATTGAGTAACTTGTAGTTTATTGCACAGACGGATTGTTTTGCTTCATAACACCTCAATATATCATCAGGAGCCACAATAATTTCGTGTTGCCTGATATGCTTTTTTTGATTCTCAAAGTGAGGGCAGCTGCTGACTGCAATTTTATGAATCACCAAGGACCATGGTTTCAGCTAAAAATCTTCTTTACTGTTCTACTGAAGAAAGAAAGTCACCTACATCTTGGATGGCCTGAGGGTGAGCAAATTAACAGCAAATGTTCCTCTTTGAGTGAACTATCTCTTTAAGAACTGAGCCAGAAAGCTGGTTTTAATCACAGCCATTGCAACGCTCTTGTAACAGTATACTCAAAACAGTGTGAACGCTGTATGTCCGATTTATGGAGGAAATGAATGAAACAGAGTAGAAGTTTGTTGCGCGAGAAGTCTGCGAAGTTTGTTCAAGACTAATCTAGCTGCACACATTTTGTACAGTCCTGCATATAATATGGGGTTCTTTTAAAATGTCTGCATTATGTGTGTGTGTGTGTGCGTATTATTTGTTCACAGTTCTTTTTAGCACTGAAATGCCAGCCTAACTTTTGCCAACGAGGCAGAAACGAAGCATCTTGTGCCTCATTGAGTCACATTTAAGTCCACATCCATTTGTCTTTATTATACTCTATTGTCCCCAGACTGTTTCGGCCTGTTCTTGTCCTTCTCATGTACATTTGTTTTTTGTTTTGTTTTGGTTTTTTTTCAGTGTGTTATTGACTTGTTCAACACCTCAGTCTCTGTTTATGTGTGTCATTAAAACCTTTATTAAGTGTACCAGAACTGCTGGCAGACTTGAGGCACATAAAGTGCTGTAGCCGTTTGCAGTTGCTAATCAACAGGCCAAGAACCAAAGGCTTTATTTGTTCCATTTTTACCTGCATTTTTAAATGAATAATAGAACAGCTGTATAGCTTTTCTTTTTCGAGTTGAGCTGTCATGATCTTGGTGTATTTGTTCTGACACTCACCCTCATGCCGGCTTTTATTGCCTAATTCTGTGTATGTGTAAGATTTGTTTCTCCCAACGTACATTGTGTATGGTGAATAAAACCTGTTCCGTAAGTTTGTAAGCTAGCACCACTTATTCTTTGGTTTTACAGCACACACAGCCATTAAATTCACATAAATATTACACAAAACACTCTTTCAAACATTTACATTTCAATCATGACAAAATGCCAAGGGCCTAAACTCTTTATTATTTATTTACATGTATGAATTTGTTCATTTGAAATAACTTTAGCTGTCTTTGTGCTGGTTAATCTATATCTCTATGCAACACGTTTTTCAGCATTAAGGCAATAACTGTTGAAATATTGATGTTTTGCAACCGAGTAATGGCAGTAATTGCTACTTTTTGATGATTGATTTTTGTCTTTTCTTGTAGTGTAACTGACCACACCAGCAAAGATCTCGTCTAGTTCTCAGCTTGTCTTGTGGTCAAGCAGCACCATGTTCTGTTCATCTGTGTGCATGTGCGTTATGTTCATTTGATTTAATACGTTGTAAAACGTTGTGAAATGTTACACTTTTCAGAAAGATAGTGGCTTTACTTAATTCACAGATGTGCTTCATGGCGTGGTCAAGCAGCACCATGTTCTGTTCATCTGTGTGCATGTGCGTTATGTTCATTTGATTTAATACGTCGTAAAACGTTGTGAAATGTTACACTTTTCAGAAAGATAGTGGCTTTACTTAATTCACAGATGTGCTTCATGGGATGTAGAACAAAGTTGATATTTCATGGTCATAATTTTAGTAGACTAAGTATCTGTTAACCTGTAACAACAGATTCCGGATACACCCAAGTGATTTATTAGCATTGGTTGTATAGATACCTTCATTGTATAACGTAATATAGTGTTGCGTGGGATATATATATATATATATGTGATTCATTTGAATACTCTCCTCCCATACATTTTGCATCTGAACAGGAAACTCCTAGAAATGCATATTCAATAAGGTCAGGCGCAAAAATAACTGTCCACACCTTTTCAGCGCTAATTCATCACTGTGCGTCTTTAGTAAAACCTAACAGTACTATTTTAACGCCAAAAGACGGTTTGCCGACTTGCCCTGGCGCAAGCTGTTAGTAAAGCTGGCCCTTAATCTATTGGTTCATTGGTGTGTTATTGTTCAGGGTTTGATTTGGAGATCTAATAGATGTTTAATTCCAGTGTTACTGCACAAACACAGATCATTCTGACAGTGATTATCTGAACATCTTGACTGATGAATGGCGTCTACACAGAGGTCAACATTGATAACCTGCTAAAATCTTGCTTCATGGTCCTGATAAGACCACGTGAAGCCTTCCTTTACTCCAGCTCTGCTTAATCTATACACTTTAGTGTTTGACACTCCTCCATCTGTAGTAATTATTCACAACAACTCGCCAGTGAAAGATGCTGTCAATAGGCCATCCATCACTATCACTGCAGACACAAAGACGGTTTCCTTGCAAATAAATCTATAAGCTTTTTCACTTTAACTTAGAGAGAGATGCTACTGAATGTGAGCACAAAAACTGATCAGCTGAAAAAGACAGACGGTGTCATTAAGTCTTTAACTCCTCACATCAAATGTTACTTTGAAAGTATTTTGCTTTAACAAAAAGTCTTTATATATTAACAATAAGAAAATGAAGCCTACTTTTGTGACAGTTAAACACATTTCCTTCCCAGAATCACCTTATTGTTAAAATGAGTATTGTGAAAAAATAATGATCTATAACTTCTGTACTGTTTTTATCTATAAATCTACATCTTTAAACTGAGTTTAAATGTACATATGTGTGTCAAATTGTATAATTATTAAATACGACGTTATTGTATTGTAATAATTGAAATGAATAAATGAAGAAAAATGATAATGGGTATTAAATAGACCTCTAATTGAAATTGGATGTGGGTTTCCTCACATTGATGATGTTGTTATCCTGCTCATCACGTGATCTTTGCTGATCTCAGTATTTCTCTGATTTCAGTATGGTTACATTTAGGTGTAGGTGTAGGTGTATGGTGGCCTTTTTTTAAATAAATATGATCAGGGATACCCATTATTGGTGCTGGGTAAATAAGTTCAGACAACTCATCTGCGTACAGACATGGTTGACAGCTGTTAATGCACAATCACCGTTTTAGATCGAAATGTAATACTGTAAAAGATTTCCATTCAACCTGAAAGCATAAATCTAGGCTACTGTATGCGCTTCCGCTTTCAGAGCAAAGTGCAAAGCTATGACGCACTTTACTCAGCAGCGCATATATTTACTTGCTGACAACACATCAAAATAAAAGCTTGCTGATTTTATGTTTGAAAATGATGAAAATTCTAATAAAATAAACAAAGAAACAAATAAATATTAGCATTGTATTTTTAAAGTGTAGATATGCCTGGTTCACAAACAAATCATACTTTCGAACCGGTTCCTTTTAGGGAGCTGGATGAACCATTTCACCAAATCAGACTGAAGCGTCTGAAACCAACCCGTTCGCAGAGAGTACCCCTTTAGCATCACTTTTCGACATGCAGGGTCCTTTATTGCTTTCAGTTGTTTGCCTTAATTTAATAGTTTGCATGCATTTGTTAAAAATAGATGTAGGATCTCTGTCTTCGAACGGACCCACTTACACTATTGAGTCACACATGAAACAATCACATTCCATTGAGACAAACTGACAAACTTCTAATTTCAGCTGGTGGCATAATAGGTTTGTGAAACTTGCCCCAAATTATTTTAAAAAGTAAGAAATTAAAAAGTAAGGAACAGCACGTGGATCCAATAGCTGCAAGTGGTGGCGTTCTCCTGAATTATGCTATTTGTTTTTCAATTCTAAAGGCCTTTGAGGCCTGCTTTCAATATATTTCACAAGGTCCCTAAAGACAGACGGAAAAAAGAAAGGGGTGAGAGAAAGTGTGCTGGTGCAGTAGAGACGGAGTAGTTTGGGGGCATCATGTTTTCCTAATGGAGCAGGCTTCATAGGGAATTCACTCCCCACAACTCTCAAAGGCATCTTTCTCTCCTTTTCTCAGGGCCAACGCGCATGCATATGCATTAACAGCAGTGCATAAAGCTGGTGGACCTCTGAAATAAAGAGAGGCAAAGTTCCCTGTCTGCCTTTGGCTTTTAGTCCAGTCTGATTTTTACACCATTTCTGGGTTAAAGGTACTTGGATACACTATTCAAAATGTTGTTTAAAAAATAATAACTTCAAATTATAGAAAAAAAATTCAGTTTGCCTATTATTATTAATATTAGTCACCATATTCTTGGATTATTGATCATAAAATCCTCAATTAAAAGAGCCAAGGGTGCATGATGTTTCCTTCTTGAACATCAGTGAATGTTTTCACCATTTATAATAGCTGTGTTCCCTCAATTGCCCACAGTGTGAAAAGATGGCTGTCCAAATCATACAGTCACAGCTGGAAAGGGTTAAAATATGCAGAAGATGCTGGAAAACCGAAGAATGTGGAGGACTTTACAGAAGATAATCAGGCAGTTGAACTGTCAGGACAAACAAGGGACTCAGTCGTAGATCATTCGGGTAACCAAACAGAGTATTACGATTCAAGGGGATGTGAACTTTTGAATTGGATAATTTTTATAAATAATTTTTTCTTTTGCACAGCCCAGGCTCATTGAAAATATGTGCTTGTGGTTTCTGCAACACTGATATTATGTACTTTATTGCACATTTCGCAGCAGCTTCAAAGGGAAATGTCCAGTGAGTGGTGCTAAAATGTGCATTCAATACATGACCGTGGCCATGTTTTTACGTTGGTACAGGCATGTATTGCAGCGTTTTTATTACGTTGCTTCAGGTATGTATTGTGGTGGTTCAGATTTCAAATGTCTGGGGAGTGTCGCTAAAAGGGTAATGTTCTATTGTGTTGGAAAATAACATGAACCCTACACCAAACCCAACATAACACAATATTGTGCAAGGAATTGTGCGAAAAGTAGGCTCTCTTAATTGAAACTCTGTTCCTGTAAATCATAATTTGTGTAAAAAGGAATAAAAGTCGTCAGAGTTTTACTGCCGTAAGTCTTCATTCCAACTGGAAACTGCTGCTATTCATGCATATACAGGTAGGCATGTTTTTTTTTAGTTTTGCAGAAATATAGGTAGGAACACGTATTTCCTGGGCAGCTTGATCCTGGCCAGCTTGTGGACTATATGTAAACATCTGTATTGTGAAATAACATATTCAGAACAATACTAAATAAAAACATGCAATTGTATGATGTTAAAATTATTCATTTTTTCTCAAATTAGTCATTAGCATTAGTCATGTTTATTCCTCGACTTTTTTAAAAGTTATATTCACAAGTCTAAAAACAAAACAGGGTTCACAACCCTGTCAATTAATTTAACTTTTAAACTGCTATCTGACATTTTCTCTCAAAAAAGATCTTATCGTTACTGCCGAGAATGAATCCCAGAATGGATATTGCAAGGATGCATTGCAAGGCCACATTTGTAGAACCCTTTGAAGTGGGACAGCATTTGTCGTGCCGCTGGTCTTCAAATGCAGCTTTCGAAGGATGCAGCCTTTAAATTGGAACACAGTTGTGGACTGTAACAGGCTGTAATAACTGATTGCTGCTTGCACATTATTGCCGGTCACTACCGAAGCATCCAGCCGACACTGCTTAGTTTTAAAGGCTGAATAATTCTGAACAAACTTAGTCATTTTGAAGGGAAAAACAAGAAAGAATTTGAATTATATGTTCTGTGTGGTAGGTAAGACCCTCTTTGTGTTTGTAAGACAGGAGAGTGCTCTCAGCTAATCAAAGGTTTCAAAGCGCCCATTACTAACTTTTTAGGTCAAAAATTTAGTTTAAAAATTTAACCCAGCAGCTGGGTTAGTCCATATTTGACCCAAAGTTGGGTTGAAACAACCCAGCATTTTTTAGAGTGTAGTGTGAGGTTATGATTTTAATGGTTTTATGCCATTTACTGTAGTTCAGTTGCAGCTACATAAAGTATTTAAAGGGTTAGTTCACCCAAAAATGAAAATTAGGTTGCGTTTTACTCACCCCAGAGGCATCCTAGGTGTATATGACTTTCTTCTTTCAGACGAATCCAGTCGAAGTTATATAAAAAATTGTCTTTGATCTTTCAAGCTGTTTAATGCCACTCAGCGTGTTGCATTGCTTCAGTCCAAAAGAACTTGAATAAAAATCGGCCATCCATAAAAAAAAGTGTCTCACACGGCTCCAGAGGGTGAACAAAGGCCTTCTGTAGCGAATTGATGCGTTTTTGTAAGAAAAATATA